GCACCCCCCCTCCCCCCCATGGAGTAAGCGCAGAGGGTCTTTAATGATGCACCCCCCCCCCTAAGCTCTCGGCGGGGAATAGAAACTCGTCCCTCATCCTCCTCCTTCCCCTCCCTCCTCCTTCCCCTCCGTACTCCTCGGTGGTGTGGTGTGTCGGAGAGGAGGAGGACGAAGAGGAGGAGGAGGGAGGGAGGAGGCCGCCAGGCGTTGAACGATGGGATTCTCGAGCACTTCTCGTGACCTCTCCTGCATCCGCCGACGAGAATATTTAATTTCCAAGCATTGTCGGGGTTCCAATCCGTCAATAAGCTGGCGGACAAATTATTGATTTACAACTTATTGCCCGGGTTTTTTTAAAGACCCTTTGGGGTTAGATATTGGCGGTTTTTGGTGCCTCTTTCATGCAGGCGGGGTTTCCCCCATAGGACGCACTGTTATAAGCAGTAGCATGCATCCTCTTTCCATACGCATTGTCCTGTGATTTATTTCTTGACCGTTTGCCCAGCCGTCATGTGTTGGGTTCTCGTTCGAATTGAATAGAGCAATGCAGTCGCACACCTCCTTCAACCCCCCCTTCTCTGGCCCCCTCCTGCGCTGCTCCCTGGGTGGCTGCGAACGGTGCAACTGTCGCCACTTTCGTGGGATCCCGGGAGGCACGGCGGAGTCGGGGAGTAAACGAACCATTTGAGACCTCGCAGCTGCCTTGGTGGCTGCGTACTGCGCAGGTGTCGCCACCACTTTCGTGGGCTCCTGGGAGGCACGGCGGCGTCGGGGAGCAAACGGACGATTTGAGACCTCACAGCTCCCTTGGTGGCTGCGAGCTGTGCTACTGTCGCCACCTGCGTGATTTCCTGGGCGGCATGGCGGAGTCGGGGAGTACACGGACGATTTGAAACCTCGCAGCTCCCGGGGGGGTTGCGATTTGCATGAATGTTACAATTGCAGCGGGCTCCTGGGAGGCACAGCGGAGCCAGGGAGGAAACGGACCCATTTGAGACATTGCAGTTCCCTGGGGCTGCGAACTATGCAATTGTCACCTCTTCCGTGGGCTCCTGTGAGGCACGGCGTGGTTGGGGAGTAAACGAACCATTTGAGACCTCGCAGCCGCTTTGGTGGCTGCGAGCTGTGCAGTTGTCGCCACTTTCGTGTGCTCCTGGGAAGCACGGCGGAGTCAGGGAGTTAACGGACCATTGAAAACCTCGCAGTTATTTGGGGTTTCGAGTTGCGCAAATGTTGCGATTTAGTGGGGTTGATGAGAGGCACGGCGGAATCGGCGAGTAATTTGACCCATGTAAGACATCGCAGCTGCCTTGGTGGTTGTGACTTGCGCTACTGTCGCCTTGTTCGTAGGCTCCTGGAAGGTGCAGCGGAGTCGGGGGGCCAATCGGATCGAGCCGAAACTTAGCAGCTCTTGGTGTGGCTGCGAACGGTGCAACTGTCGCCACTTCTGCGGGCTGCTGGGAGGCACGGCGGAGTCGGGGAGTAAACGGACCATTTGAGACCTCGCAGCTCCCTCGGTGGCATCAAGCTGCGCAACTATCGCTGCGTTCATTGGCTCCTGGGGGATCCAGCGGAGTCGGGGGCCACTCGGATCCAGCCGAGACCTCGCAGCTCCTTGGGTGGTTGCGAGCTGCGCAACTATCGCCACTTTCGTGGGCTCCTGGGAGGCACGGCGGCGTCGGGGAGTAAACGGACCGAGCCGAGGCCTCGCAGTCCATTGGCTAGCTGCGAGCTGCGCAACTGGCGCCACCTTCGCGGGCTGCTCTGAGGCACGGCGGAGTCGTGGAGTAAACGGACCATTTGAGACATCGCAGCTCCTTGTCGGGCTGCTCCCGCTGCGGTTATAGAGCGAGCCCGACAGGACTGACGAGTTGCCTTGCTTTTGGCACCAGAGGTCTGGTGCCAGGGAGCTGGGTTGAAGTAGACCCCCCCCTGAGGAGCATGTTCCTCTTGACCTCGGCCTCCCTCCCTGGAGCTCTCGTTTCCCAATGGAGTTGCCTTGGGAGCTGGCGACGCCAGCGGTGGGGACCACTCTGCCGACCCGCGTATGAACAGAATCGAACGAGCTGGTCGCATTTTCCATGACGGAGGCCACCTGGACCATGAACACCTTCGTGAGTTGGAATCGCGCGGTGGCCCGCTGGAGCGCAAGCAATCTATAAATCGAGGTGAGCTCCGAGCGCTCACGACATAAAGCTGCGATAAGTGTCCCTGTTGCAGTCGAGCGGCGCTTTATTCAATCGCTTCGCTCATTCCGCCGGCCCGTATTGTGCCATCGCAGGCGTTTGCTTGCGCGTTCGTGGCCTCTGGGAGCCTCATTGGGGCCGTTTGGGGCCTCTTGGCGCCTCTTTTTACGCCTCTTGGAGAACTCGGGAGGCCTCCAGGGGGCCTCCTGAGCTCTCGTGACGGTCTCTTGGGGGGCTTTCGGCGGGCTCTTGGCGGTATTTGTTGGTCCTCTTGGGGCCTGGGGCCTGACGTTGTTGGTCCTCTTGGGGTTTCACGGGAGCTTATTGGGGCGTCTTGGGGGTGTCTTGGAGAGTCTCTTGGGGCCTCTTTCGGGGTCCTGGGCGCCTTCCGGGGCGGAGGGCTCGATTTTTCAGTTCTCGGTTCCTGTCTTGAGCCCCTCTTGGGCCCGTCTTGGGGCCTCTTGGTCCGCCTTGGGCGGCAGTTGGGCCGTCTGGGGGGCGCTCTTGGGCCGCTCTGGGGCCGTCTTGGGAGCCTCGTGGGCCGTCTTGGAGCAGTCTTGAAGGCCTCTTGGGCCCTCTTGGAGCGTCCGGAAGCGAAAAGGCCAGAACGCAAAAAAACATCGAAAAAACCAATGAAAATCAACGATTTTGGCAACTTGGGGCCCTCTTCGGAGGCCTCTTGGAAGGCCCTTGGAGCGTCTTGGAGGCCTCTTGGGCTGTCTTGGGGCCATCTGGGGCGTCTTCGGGCGATCTTTGGCCGTCTCGGGCCTCTCTTGGACCGTCTAGAAAGCTTCTCGGGGCCCTCTTGGACCGATCTGGAGCCCTCTTGGACTCCGAAACAGAACTCCGGCATCTCTGGCCCGACCTTGCCGGGACCTTGCCGGGGACTTGCCGGGACCTTGCCGGGGTACTTTTCGTCCGGGGACCCCCAGGGGCCGCCCTGCGCGCGCGAACTAGAAATATTGTTAACCAGGTACCGGAGATCTTAGCACGCCCTGGCCCGTTGGGCCGGCGAATAACTGACAGTGCCTGTGCGTCCGCGGGTGTTCGGCGATCTTGCGCGGGGATTTTCTGACCAGCAACATATCGGACTGGTTGCAGCTCGACGCAGTGATCAGTAACTCTCCCGGGGCTGTCGTGCAGGTGTTCAAGGCTGAGTCGCATCTTTCCCTGTCTGACGCCCTTGAGATGTCTGTGCCGCTTGTGCACTTTTATGCTACAGCGGGGGCGCGCATCAAGAAACCATATGCTTCTCGTAAGCGCACCGTGGGTTTCTCCGCTCCGCGCGCTGCGCGGTGACTTTCCGCGGCAGTCAAAAATACTGCTGTGTTCAGGGTGCTCCGGGTTTCTCCTCAGGTGCACCTCGCGCGCGGGTTTTCAGGGTTCGGTTTCTTGCGAGGGCTTCTTATGGCCGTGCCCGCACTGTAACCAGCGGGCCGACGAGTTGGCCGCTGAATACGCTGCCGACGCCCAGCTCCCAGCTGCGCAGAGCTGCCAGATGCAATTCGTCGATCAAGCTGCTACGGTTGTCAGGCAGCCTCTCGCTGCGGTCTCTGTGGGCTCTTCTCGGCTGCGGGCAATATGAGTCCACCACGATGGCCTTACGACGCCCTGCCGCCCAATTACGAAGCGAGGGCGACACAATCTTGCCGCGTTGATGCTTGGTCAACTGCCACAGCAAAATGCTAAGAAAACTCAGGCTGTAGCCGAACTAAGCGAAATTTCTAGGCTGGCCACCTTGGCCCTGCTCACTCTTATCTGCTCTGCCAGGGTGTCGCACACTTAGTGCGGTAGCCAGACGCTCGCAGCGGGTTCGTCGTGGGGTCCCAGTGGCCGTCCTTGTCACTGCTGCGTTCGGTCGGCGCCCTCCTGTTGCACGGCCGTGAGGCGCTGGAGGTAATTCTCAGTCTGCGGCGACAGTTGCACAGGGGGGCCGCCTTTAGTTGTTTTCCTCGCGCTCCTCCTCAGTCAGTCGGAGGAGCTTTGAGCCAAGGTGAGCGACACCGAATGTTGTTCCCTGGCTCGCTGCGAGCTGTGCAATTGTCGCCACTTTCGTGGGCTCCCGAGAGGCACGGCGGAGTCGGGGAGTAAACGGGGCCAGGATCTTGCAGATTCTTGGGGGGGTGCGAACTGTGCAATTGTCGCCACCTTCGTTTTCCTCCACCTGCGCTGTTCCCTGGGAGGCTGCGGACTGCGTCGCGGCCGCCTTGCCCTTGGGCTGCCGTGCGGCCCCGCGGAGTCGGGGAGCACGCGCACCCAGGCGGGACTCCGCTGCCCGCTGGGCGGCGGCGACTTGCGCAGCTGCCGCCGCTGTCGTGTGTTTTTGGGAGGCGCGGCGGGGACGAGCGTAGCCTGCATCGTGCACATCGGGCGATGTGTTCTGTCGTACGGAGCGCTCCTACAGATGATCGCCACGTGCCCTGGAGGGTTTCAGCACGTGTCGGGTAGCACGTCCCCCGGCCCCCCCACGGCAGCGTCGCACATGCCTCAGGCCATATTGCGCAGCCCTGCCCCGCTCGGACGCCCCAGTATTGCATGCCCTCGAGGGGTGCCATGGCCTTGATCAGTGGGCCCTGGGAACATCAGGGCACGCTTGTTCCCCGTTTCGTTCTCAGTGTTTGCGGCGGTTTCCCGACGCAGCGTTTGTTCCTCGCTCCGTCGCTTTTTCTTTCTCTGCTTCTCTGGAAGTTTTGTCGTCGTTCTCCGGAGGGACACTCTGGACTCGCATCAGAAACACGAAACGACCCTGCCATCCCCGAGGGCCCCCCCCGCTACCCGAGAGAAGCGCCACGGCCGAGCGCCGAGAGCCGAGAGGCACGCTGTGCGCCACCATGGAGGCGCTGGGCGCGGCGGCGCGGACCGAGGATCGCGACGCGTGGGAGCCCTGCTTCGGGCGTGTGCTGGTCCGGGGGGGGGGCTCTCCGCCGCCGCCGGGAGAGGGCCTCGGGGGGCCCAGGATGTCGAGATGGAGAGAGCGTCTGTCGGCCCCTGGCGATGACGGGCGCGGGGGAGCGGGTCGTGGCGTCGCTCGTACGCGCGCCTCTTCATCCGCGGCGAGGACCACCATCGAGGAGCCGTTTGGGCCACCTGACGGAAAAATGAATGCGCGGAGTCGAAAGCTGCACGGAGAATGGAAGTCCGAGCGTCTTTGGTCCTCTGGCGACAACGGGCGTGTGGGGGGGGGGGGGGCAGGTCACGCCGCGATTCGCGCCGGCGCCGTTTGGAAGTGCTCAGGGATGGCTCATTCCCACACGGCGCCAGCGCGAGTCGTGACGCGACCAGGGGGGGAGGGGGGAATCGGAGATGATAGTAGTACCAGTCAGCGAACGAAAGTCAAACCAGCTTCGAGCTCCTTGTCGTTCGGATTCGAAGACCGCCGTTGCCGGCTCTCAGATTTGCGTCTGATTCGGTTGCCAGGCTGCCACGCTGCAGACTTGCTGCGGAACTTGCCGCCGATCGCTCGTGATAATCCAGAGACATGTTGTCCACACCCCACGGTGTTGGTGTCTCCTGCAGAGCACAGCACTGCGGTCGCGACTCCCCCTTCCTGCCTCCTGCCTCCTGCCGTCTGCCTCCTGCTCCACCGCAGCTCCCCTGGGGGGCTGCGAGCGGAGCAGCTGCCGCCACCTCCGCGGTCTCCTGAGGAGGCACGGCGGAGTCGGGGAGCGCGCGCCCCCAGGCAGGACCTCGCTGCTCCCTGGCAGCTCCACCGAAGCCCCATGTGGCTGTGCCCGCGCGCGTCTCCCCCACCCGTGTCGCCGTACCCCTCACACGTCGCGTGGTCCCTCAGGGAGCTCCACAGAAAGCTCCAGTGGCGTTGTGTTTGGGAAGCAAGCGAGAACCTCTGTCTGCAAGCACTGTGCGGGCAACGGTTGCATGTATAATTCATAGGGAGATCGTGGGGTCGATAGGCAGATGACCGACAGAAGTTGTTCCGATGTTTGGAGAGTTTGGTCCGATGGTTGTCCAGTCGTTAGCCCCACCTTCCCAACCTCCTTATCGGCGCTGCCGAGAAGGCGGCAGGGGTCGGGGGTGGGGTGGTGGTTCGGTAGCCAATCATGGGAGCCTTGTGTGTCCTCGTCACTCCGTCTTTCGAGTGCGTTAGCGTCGACTGGCGTCTCGTAATAGATGGGATGGTGCTGACTTGGCCTGATCAGCCTCGAGTTAGCGTCGATTTGGAGTAGTTTAGAGTCGATGAGTGTCGACTGTTGCCGATTCGTTAAAGCCAGCAAGATGGTATGGGAGGCTCCCATGAGTCGCCGCAGAAGCGTGGGTGCGGGGGGTGGGCGGGCAAGGGCAATGCAAATAAATGTGCCGGAATCCATACAACCTGTTCGTTGGAGGTGTCCCGCTTCGGGATGCTTTCCAGCAGCTGCGTCTCACCGAAGGCGTTCCGGGAGTACGCGAACCTTCCCAAACAAGGCACATGGTTCGAAACCCCACCAGCATCTAGTATCGGCGGCGACCCTAGGGGGGAAGTGCGAAGGAGAAGGCCTTCTCAGAAGGCTCGGAAGTCCCCCCGCCTTCTGAGAAGTGTTCTAAGCCTGCCCCGACGACACAGAAAACTTCGGCGAAGGCCAGAGGGCTTTTGCGAAGCCCCGCCGCCTTCTGAGAAGGTCTTTTCCTTCCCACTTCCCTCCTCGCTCGCCGCCAATAGTAAGCCGACTCTCGGAGGATGGAGGACCGGTCGAGACAGCAGAGGCTCTCCCTGACGTTTTTCTCTTCTTCGGTGGCCTCCTAGAGGGTTCTCGTTCACGGGCCACTGCTGGATCCGCGTCATCAACGGGCTTGGCATCGGACATGTGCATTTTTTCAACGGCGAGGCCCATCGAGGAGCATGTTGGGCAATCATGCAAAGGAAAATGCGCACGAAACCGACAAATGCACGGGGAATGGACGTCCGAGCGATGGCAAGCGGGTCAGGTTCGACCCTGGGATGGGTCCGCAGGCCAATTCCGAGTGGATATGGGCAGGACGGTTAGAAGGTCAATGTCGAAAAAAATTCGATCCGATTGGATATCGAGTTCGACCAGCCCGGTGCTATTCGAATCTGGTATTGCGACAATCCGGCGCGGCTCAATGATTACACAATGTCCTCGCGCATTTTTGCGTGGCCGGTCCAATTCGGTTTTGGTCCGTGCTGATGCGGCCCGATGCGTTGCGCATTCGGATGGTCGATTCGATTTTCCTTGTCGACGCAGACTGATCCTCCCATTGCCCATACAAAAGGCAAGCCACGTCTCGAAATGCCGCCCCCATGCTGAGATCGCTGCTCAACTGGCTGCCTTTGCTGTTGCCGCCGTCGCCCTTCGTCATTTTGTCGCCGTCACCGTCAACGTCGTCGTCGCCCTCTCCGTTGCCGCCGTGGCCGTGATCGTCTGCATTGTCTTTGTGCGTCGCGCATCGCGCCCGCTGTTCCTCTGGGGAGGTCCTCGTCCTGGACAGCCTGACGGATCCAGAGCTCCAGGACTGGTCCCAGCGCGCGTGCGGTTGTGGAGGGGGCTGCTGATGGAGGTGATTGCACACTCGTGATGTTAGCTGCGTCAAAAGAACATGGCATCGACATATATGACCACATAGACAACAACTTTGATGATGGTAACGATGATGATGATGATGATGATGATGATGATGATGATGATGTTGATGATGATGATGATGATGATGATGCTAATGCTAATGATGATGATGCTGATGATGATGATGATGATGATGATGATGATGATGCTAATGATGATGCTAATGATGATGCTAATGATGATGCTGATGCTGGAGCCGATGCTGATGATGATGATGATGCTGATGCTGATGCCGATGCTGACAATGATAATGATGGTGATACTGATGGTGGTGATTGTGATGCTGATGTTGGTGATGAGCATGACGATGAATTTGATGGTGGTGGCGACGGTGATGGTGATTGTGAGGAGGAGAAGGATGTTGCTGTTGATCATGATGATGGTGATGATGATGATGATCAGGATGATGAGGATGATGATGCTGATGGTGATGATCATCATGAAGCGGATGATGATGAAGCTTAGGATGACCATGATGATGAAGGTGACCATGACGATGATGACGATGGATGGGAAGATTATGACGATGATGACGATGCTGCTGCTGATGATGCTCATGATGAGGATGATGATGATATGATGATGATGGTCATGATGGTGATGGTGTTGCGGATTATTATGAATATGATAATTATGGCGATCATGACGATGACGATGACGATACTGCTGATGCTGATGATGACGGTCCACTTGTCTAAAGAGGTCAGAAGCTCCCAGATCATACCGCCGCTCGGTCCGATGCGTTTCCCTTTGGCCCTGCGGCGGCAACGCACGGTCTCATGCCCACGGCGCCCTCGCAGATTCACCTGAGTGCCTGTAGATACGGCAACCGAGCGGAAGTTTTTTTGCTTTGAGATGGCGTTCGGGGGCGAACCAGAGTGTCGGTGGCGACACCTGCCCTCTCGGTTCAGCCTCCGCCTTGGCACGCGGTCAGTGCTACAACAGGCGGGCGGGTACGCAGCAAAGTTGCGGTGTGCGCGGCGTGCATTGCCCGAGCAGAAGTTAGCAGTGCACATCGGCAAAGCGACATAATCCTTTTTCGCTCCTGGCCACACACGCGGACATCGTTGCGCCGCTGATGCTTGCGGAGCGCGATCCAGAGCGTCGGGGCATCCACCTGGCTGCGTGCGCCGCGATTGCCACCTGTCGGACCGCCGCCTGGTCTGCCTCCTCTGCCGTGCCTGCCGCCGCCACCGCTCGCGGCTCCTCGAGCACCATCACCACCGCGTCCTGCCAGGGGTCGAGCCCGCACAAACAGGGCTTCCAATCGGGCGGCTGGGGCCGCGTGTCGGAAACGGTCATGGGAATGACATGACTGTGGCCGCGGAGATATTACTGAAAACTTCGTCGGTTTGGGACCTGACCCAAGATGTGACGCGATGGCTAGGACCAGCCACACGGGACTAGGCACCTGCCCTGCTCGCGCCGTTTTGATCCCGAAGGAAGGATGATGCTGATGAAGATGCTGATGATGATGCTGATGCTGATGCTGATGTTGATGCTTCTGATGATAATGATGGTTGTGGTGGTCATGGTGATGCTGATGCAACTGCTGGGCTGATGATGATGCTGCTGCTGATGATGATGATTATGATGATTATGCTGATGATGACGGTGATGACGACGACGGCGACGCCATGGCGATGGCAACGTTGTTGTTGCTGCTGCAGCTGCGGCTGCCTATTCAGACAGCCACGATCATAACACCGTCGTTGCGTCGACGCCGCCGCCGACCGTGGCGCGGGCGCCGCGCGGCGCCTCCGCGGGAGGACTACGCCCGGGGTGCCGCGCTGCTGTGCTTGCAGGAGCTGCTGGTGCATCAGGTGGGCCGTCGCCGTGCCGCCGAGCTGCCGCCGCCGCCCAGGTCGACTACACGTAAGAGTGACTCTGGGCCTCCTAGCTGGGGTCGGGTAGATGGATTCGGTGGATCGCGCCGCCTCGCGAATGCATGGGCGATGCGGCTCGATGCGGAGCCCGATCTTCTCCACGTCGGCGTCGCCGATGCGCCGCCCTCGTCGACGACGAGTCGCCGGTGCATCGTCGATGCATCGCAAATGCATCGCCGATGTATCGGCAATGCGGCGCGATCCATCTACTCCGACCCCGTCTTTTCCGAGCCCGTCTCGGATGCCTCTACAGGTCGACTACACGTAAGAGTGACCCTTCGCCGGAGTGACCTTCAGTGCGGGCTCATCGGGGTTCCCCTGATCGCTGAGCGCGATGCGACAGCGGCTTCTTGCGCGCTTGCATTTGTCCACCTTACGCGCCCTGAGTCCGCGCACCAAATGTCACTCTTACCCAGGGTCACTCTTGCGTGTAGCCGACCAGGTGTTGTCGGGCACGCGCTGCCGCCGCACTTCAGGGGCCACGATAGGGTGGATGGGCTCAGATGGGGATGCATCCGTCCTCGCGGTGACCCAAGTGAAGGGGGACTGGCACGTTTCCTAATTTTCTCGCTCGTTCAGATTTTTTTGTCCCGCCTCGGGATGCTCTTCGGCAGATGCCCGTCGCCGAGAGCGTTGCGGTGGTGCCCAGATCGTCCTGGACAGCCGCCGAAGACCCGAGTTGTGACCCGAAAGCCACGGGCCACGACACATTTTGGCGGCGCGCAGAGGGGGGTAGGGGGAGGGGGGAAGGCTTCTTAGAAGCACCCCTGCCTCTTAGAAGGTGCGGGCCTGTGTAGATGTAAGGCCGGCGGCAGCCTCCTTCTAAGAAGCCTTCCCTTCCCCCTCCCCCTACCCCCCTCTGCTCGCCGCCAAACATTGGGGGTGATGGACCCGCAGGGGGCTGCGTCGACCCCCCCTTTCCACTCGCCCACTCGTCGCCGATAGGAGGATGCCCGATAGCCCACGCCGCCCAGGAGCGTGCGGTTTCGCCACCGGTGGCCTGGCATGCAGTGTATCGACGAGGTGTCCCCCTATGCCAGGTTGACGTTGCCTCCCTGCGTCAGTCCCCCCCCCTGTCGCTGCCCCCCCTGTCCAGGGCTGACTCTTCCTCCCTGCGTCAGTTCCTTAGTGGGCCCTGGAAACGACAGGGCCGTTTTTTTACCGGTTCCGTTCTGCCGTTTTGTTGCCGGTTCCGACGCCGTTTTTTTACCGGTTCCGTCGCCGTTTTTCGACCGGTTCTGGCTCCGGTTCCAATCCTGGAGCAGTTTTGTTGCCGTTTCCGGTCGCTGTTTTCTTGCCGTTTCCATTTTCAAGGGACATTTTTGGGGAAACGGTGAAAAAACGGCCCTGCTGTTTCCGGGGCCCACAAAGGTCAGTCCCCCCCTGTCGCTGCCCCTCATCACCCCTCAGTTATCAGGAGGTTGTTTCTCTCAAGGCTCTGACAAGTTTGCTTCAATGGATCAGGGTCTCCCAGATTCGGGGGTGTTCGAGAAAGGGTGCGATGGCTGGAGGGTTGGATGTCGTGGCCAGAGCAGTCATATCTCTCCAGATGTCATGGCCCCTCGTTATTGTGAAGTCCATATGGCATGTGCCGCCGACCTTGAATGCGGGACCTCACCGAGGACCCGTCGAACTCCGACATTAAGTCGGGCGTGTCCTTCTACAGGGGGAATATTCAGAAATAGTAAAAACAGTTCAACCACATTCAGGGGATGATCTTTCAGTATTTTTGATTATTTCCAGGATTGTTGTGTTGGAAGCATTATTTGCACCTAACATATGGTATAGTTTAAGAAGATTATGTAAAAATAGTCATTCAAATTCCTTGCATGAAAGGAAAACAAAACAAACATCAACCAATATCCGCCTGTAGGGGGACATGCCCGACCTAACCCCAAAAACAGCCTACGCCATCTAATAAGCAGCCTCCTGAGAAGACTTCCCCTCTCCCCCTGCCCCATCGCGCGCGCCGCCAGATACGCCCCATGTCCCCTCAGCAGCTCCAGTGGTGCCCCCTGCTGTCTGGAATGCTCCTCGCAGGCCTGGCCCAGAGCATCGGCCGTCTGCAGAGTCAGCGAGCACAGCCGTGCAGGGGCTCTTCCCCAACTCTCCGAGATGCAGCGCCCGAACAGCCAACCAACTGGTACCCCGCGCGGGGAGGCGGCCCCAGTCCTCCAAGGCACGCGCCCCCAGGGGGTCGTTTTCCGCTCCGTGCCCCCCTCCTTGTCCACGGGCTCCGGGAGCCCCCCCCGAGAGCGGCCCCCCCGCGACTGTCGGAAGAGGGGCGGCCCGCCGCGATTGTCGGAGGTGGACAGACCTCCTACCCCGACACGTCGATTGAGGAAGTGGCCGTTTTCGGTTTCGAGAGAGGGCGTCGCGGCCGTTAATTTTTGCGGGTCCGGGTCCGTCGGTTTCGGTCCCAGGCCGTTCTCATTGAGGGGAGGTTTACTAAAGGGAGGTTTGTCCACCGCCGAGACTGGAGCACACATGTCATCGGAGCTATGGGCAGGAGGTGGTCAGACGGATGAAGCCGCTCAGAAAAGGAGGGGCCCCAAGGAGACGCTCTGGACGCACCCCTACCGAGGATGGACGCCCCCCATCGTGTATCCCAGGGTTGGGCCCCAACTGTGTGGTCCGTCCGACAGCCCCACGAAGCCTGGGATGGGGATCGACATCACCTCTGTGAAGGGGGCGGCCTCGTTCTAAGAAGCCTTCCCCCCTCACCATACCCCTTTGCGCGCGCCGCCAAGGGAAGGAGCAAGGGGTCACGATGCTGCTGAGTTGCAAGATTTCCACAGTTTCCAGGAATTGCTATATTTCCTAGTGTTCCGCACTGGCTGCGCTGCTAGATACGCTGCAGATCCTGGAACATCTTCAGAGCCAATCTTACCATGACATCATTTTCGCCCTAACGAGGGGGAGGGGGGAGGGGCACGATGATTGCAGCAGGACGCATTCTATAAACGTGCATTTCCGGAGCTCCGTGCGGAGTTCTTTGATTTGCTCTGGACCTCTTTGGCGACGCCTCTGGCGCCGCCCCTTGCGCGCGCCGCGCGCCAGCGAGGGCGGTCCAGTGCGATCCAAGAACTCCGCGCGGACCTCCGCAGATTTAGGCTCCTTGATTTTTGCTCCCCTCTGAAAAATCGGCGGCGAGCAGGGGGGGGAAGTGACAAGGAAAAGGCATTCTCAGAAGGCGGCGGGACATCTCAGAGGCCCTCCGGCCTTCTGAGGATGTTTTTTGTTCTGTGTCTTCGGGGGGAGGTTTCGAGCATCTCTCGGAAGGTCCGTCGGAGGGTACTTCCGAGCTGTCCGAGGAGGCCTCCTCCTTTTCGGTCCCCCCCCCCCCCCGGGCTCGCCGCCGAACAGGTAGGGGGCCACATGCGAACCCTACCCCTACCCCCAACGATTTCTGAGGGGGAGGGTGGGGTGGGGTTCGCACGTGGCCCCCTGGCAGGTCGCACCGAGGATGGGCCCCCCCCGCCGCAGGCCTGCCTCTTCCCCCACTTCGTGGACGTCGTCGCCGACCGCCTCCTGCGGGCGCGCCCGCCGCGGCCGCCGCCGCCGGCGGGGGGGGGGGGATCCGGGCGGCCCGCCGCCGCCGTGGGCGCCGCCGTATGATTGGGCGCCGCCGCCGTCGCAGGGTCCGGGTCGGTGCGATCGACCTCGAGGCATTCCGCGCTTGTGCAGGCCGGCCACAGCTGAAGGGGGCTGTGGTCCTTACCCCCTTGGGGGGCCCATCGATTTCGATACCCCTCTCGAGAGATCGTCGAGGCGATGGGTTCCCCCAGGGGGGTAAGGACCACAGCTCCCCCAGTTATGGCTGGTCGGATGTGGACAAAACACCAGCCTTTGCCCCTGCCCCGCTTCGCGTCTTCCCCTCCCCCCCCTCCCCGTGCGGGGGAGGAGGAGGACCAGGAGGACCAGAGGAGGAGGAGGAGGAGGAGGAGGAGGAGGAGGACCAGGAAGAGGAGGAGGAGGAGGAGGAGGAGGAGGAGGAGGAGGAGGGGGAGGAGGAGGACGACGAGGATCATACCAGAGGACCAGGAAGACCAGAGGGGGAGGAGGTGGAGGAGGAGGAGGAATGTGATGGGAATGCTATGAAAGGAACCAATGTCCAGCAGGCTCCCAGGGTGGCGCAGATACCACTACAACCACCTAGGAGCCATGACCCGACTGAGCTTTAGTCGGAGTCTCCAAAATGACCTCCCCTCGAAGCACCCCCCCCCAAAAAAAAACAAAAACAGCGCAGCCTGCCCGCAAATGAGCGATATGCCATCGCCGAGGCTACCCGTGCGCGGCAAAAGCGCTCCCGCCTCCGCCTCAAAAAGGGGAGGCACGCCTTGACCCCGATGGCGGCAGCAGCGCTCCACCAGCCGCGACGGCGGCGTCAGGGATCCACCCATCCGACTCCGCGGCCGCCGCCGCGGGCCCGGGCCCGGAGGCCATGCTCCGGAGACCATGCTCCGCCCCTGCCCGCGCCCCCCCCCCCCCCCACCGGGCGGGGAGACAGGGGAAGGACTGTGGAACCCCAGAGAAAGGAGGAGCCAAGGGAGGAGGGGGGGGGCGAGGGCCCCAGAAGGGGGAGGGACCCCAAGAAGGCCAGGGGGGCCTGGCAAACGCGGGGCATCCCGAGCCCGCCCCACCCAGAGCCCCACCCCCACCCGGGGGCAGCCAAGCCGCGGAGCGAGTAGAGCCAAGGAGCCAAGGAGCCAAGGAGCGGGGGAGCGGGACACAGTCCCCCCCGCCCACCCCTTTGTAGGGCTCTGCCCTCGAGTGGCCCCGCGTACGTGTCCCCGATGGGCTCCATCACTCTTGGATCTGCTGTGGGGTCTCTGGGATCACCAATCTTCCGTCTGCGATGTCGGACAGCAGACGTATCGTGTCCTCCCTGCTGATGGGGAGGGGCTCCTTGAGGACCTCCTTGGGCTCTATCTCGAGACGCTCACAAAGTAACGTACTCGTTGATACAATGATACGTTTGAATTGTCGGAGCTGCTGTGTGGCAGGTTTGTGGGAATCACTTCCCTTTTTCTTGCCCATCGCACCGAGTGGGCTTGAGCCAAAATGGCTCCAGACACAAGCTGTCCGCGGAGCGGGGCATTGCTACACCCGGTCCTGCCAAGAGGTGGTATTGCTACACACCTCTTGGCCTTAAAGGTCGAAGCAACACAGTGCAAGCAAATGTCGCCACATTCGCGCTCGATGCAGCACACAGGGAGCAAATAGTCACACTAGAGGCGAAGGAATTGCCAGCGCTTATCTGCGAAACTGCACAATGCCGTGCTATGCTATCCCTCACGCACCGCACAACACGGCAACGAAATTGTCACGAATTCTGGCTCTGTCGAGCCAAGTTTGTTAGACAATTCTGTTTGACAGTCTGGTCGGGTTCCTGCCAAGCCTGTTTGACAGTCTGGTCGGGTTCCTGTCGAGCCTGTTCTTCCACGCACCCCCCCAGGGGGGGTGGCTGCCGATCATCGGGCCGGCTACCCAGGGGGTTTTCAGTTCCCCGAGGGACCTGGCGTGCCCCCCCCACGCGCAGGTGCCCCCCCTCGGGGCAAGGAGGAGGAGGAGGAGGAGGAGGAGGAGGAGGAGGAGGAGGAGGAGGAGGGGGAGGGGGAGGACCAGGAAGACCAGAGGGGGAAGACCAGAGGAGGGGGAGGAGGGATTGGAACCAAGAGGGTCATCGCGCCCTGCGTGAAGAGACATGGTGTCGTTGAACAGTTATTCCAGCTTCGGGGGAACCTATTTCATCTTTGCCAGCTGAGGCCCCACACAGTGAGTTGTTGCGCTGTGGAGGTGGGAGCTGTGCGGAGTACGCTGTGTGGCGAAAGCCGTGCTGCAGAAGCTGCACGGTGGGAGCCACGTGGTGCAAGCGATGCTGCGCGGGACGTGTGCTGTGACCCGCGTGCTGTGTGTGCTGTGCCCTGTCGGCCGTGCGGTGCCGGCTGTGCGCTTCGAGCCACGACGTGGGCCACGTGGCGAAGGCCACGAGGCGCCGAACCCGGGCGAACACTCGGCGGCAGTCGCCGGTGGCACGGGGCGCCCGCGTAAGGCGGCAGCCGTCGGCGGACGTACCCTCCTGGGGGGCACGGGGCGCCCGCGAGGGGCGCTCCCCCCCGGGGCGGGCACCGGGCGAGCCCTCGGCGGACCCCCCCGAAGCGCCCGCGGGCGCCCGCGAGGCGGCCGCGGGCCGCGGGAGCTTCGCGCCACCTCGTCGAAAGATAAAAAATACCCCAAGAATGCTCAAAAAGGTCAGAGAATATTCAAAAAATAGTACCCTGATTATTTTTTGAGTATTTCAAAAAAACATTGTTGGGGTATTTCTTATTTGTCGTTGGAAATCCTCCTGTAGGGGGGCAGGCCCGACTTAACCCAAGGGCGATGGGGCGCCCACGCGGCGCCCGCGGGCCAGCACCCGACGAGCCCTCGAAGGGCCCGCCCACCACGGGCGGGGAGGTGGAACATCGTTAGGCGGATCCGTCCACAGCAGTGGGAGCGAGAACCCCGGAGCGTCAGCACTCCTTTGGGAGTCTGCAAGTAGATGTGCCTATATGTATGCGCACGCATACTCACACAGGACGAGGATGGAAGGCGATGACCTCGAGGACGACGACTCCAACGGCGGTGACGACTTCGACGACGATGGCGGCGGACATGACTTCGACGAACGACTGCGGCGGAGGCGACCTCGGTGGCGACGGCTACCTCGACGTTGGCGGCGGTGACCCAGGTCTCCGACGTCGGCGTTTTTCACCACGTGGACCCCCCCGAAATCTTCCCCCGGACCAGATTTTCATCTCGAGTCGCTTTTGTTTACCCTGGGCGATTCTCTTCGCAGGGAAATAATCTAAACTTGTGCGAGGCCTCAGAGCATGCAGCTGCAGATGTTTCCCTTTCGACGCACGGCTCCGTCTGCCCCTGAGGGGACCGCTCTGTCGACGCGACCGGAGTCTTGCGCAAAGAGGGCGTGATGTTCCAGATTCTGGCAAGTTTACTTGCACGGCACTTGCCCCACACCCCTCGGCCGTCATCTCAAACAGCGCTGGCCCGGAAAGGCGTGCAAACGAGTCGCGATTTGCGTGAAAGACAGTTCTTTTCGTGCCTCGCACGCCCCCCGCCTTTCTAGATTCAAGTAACCTTTCGGAGCCTAGATCAAACATGCTTCAGACCGAGCCGACGCCGAAGCCGAAAGCCCAAGGGGCCCAGAGAGAGCCCCCATTGAGTCAAGCATTGCCCAAAAATTGCCACGCGCGTTTTTGTGCAGATTCTGGGAAGTTGAGCCCTCCCCCTAACACAGAGAGATCCGAAAAAAGGTTGTCTCCAGATGCCGAGAAAGTAGGAAGTGCTTCCTGCTTTTTTTCTATACATTGGAGGTCTGGTGGTTTTCGTATCATACATTTGGTCTCCGGCGCCGGTCCGGAACGATCAAGACACCTCTAGACGCCTCTCGGCGAGGCGCAGCTGCTTAAACGCATCCCGGGGCAGTAAAACCTCCGGGAACTAGCGTAAGGGTCCGCTCCGAACGTCCTTCCCCCTCAACCTTCTGCCCTAACTTGTCGTCCTGTTTGTTCGATTTGATCGATGTGGGCTTCCTTGATCTGCTTGTTTTTGTTCCGTGAGTTTCGATGAGTTCTTCTTCACCCTCCGCGGAAGTCGGAATGTCTGGCAGGTGGAGGTGGAGGGTAATCGCATGTCATTCCCGCACGCCCCCGTGACCCGCCGCCTTGTCAAACAGCGTTGTGCCGAGAAGGCATGCACGTGAGTCCCGACTTGGGTGGAGTCCTGGCATCGCTCGGACGTGTGCATTTTTTTCTCGGCGAAACCGTGGACGACCATCCTGGACCATCGAGCAAACAAAACACACGCACGAAACCGAAAAATGCACGGGAAATGGACGTCCGAGCGATAGCGAGGAGTCCATCTGTCCTTATGGGTCTCGCCATGCCCCAACCCCCACTCCATGCAAGTAAACTCGTCGTTATTCTCCCACGACGAGAGGAGCTGGGCGGACGACAGCGATGGCTTCGACGACGACGTTACGGCGGCGAACTCGACGACGACGACGATCGCGACGACAATGATGGCGCTGGGCATGACCTCGACGAGCGAATGCCGCGTAGGCGACCTCAACGGCGACGGCGACCTCGACGACGACGGCGACGCCCCCATGGAGTCCCCCGATGTTTTTTTTGTTCCATTCCGAGGCCTCAGAGCTCCCGGCAGTTTTGCGTCCCGGACAGTGCTTTGACTGCCCCTGGAGCCGATGATGGGCCCTGGAGGTTGGTCTGATGGAACTTAGTGGGCCCTGGAAACGACAGGGCCGTTTTTTTACCGGTTCCGTTCTGCCGTTTTTTTGCCGGTTCCGACGTCGTTTTTTTACCGGTCCCGTCGCCGTTTTTTGACCGGTTCCGGCTCCGGTTCCAATCCTGGAGCCGTTTTTTGCCGTTTCCGGTCGCCGTTTTTTTGCCGTTTCCATTTTGAAGGGAGATTTTTGTTGGTTGGAAGCGGCAAAAAAACGGCCCTGCCGTTTCCAGGGCCCACAAAGTAATGGAACAACGCTGAGACTGAACACCAGTCAGATCGACGGAAGCCTGGGACGTCTTCGACGATCACGTCACGGCGTTGGATTTGACGGCGACCTGTCGGAGGAGGGCCCGTTCAGACAACGGCGGCCTTCCCGCCTGACGACGACGGCGGCTCCCCCGCGCGACCCACACAGGGTCGAGATCGGTCCGCGGACCCCTCGCAGGGCATATCCTGACCCGTTTTTCGACGCGGATTCGGTCGTGGTGAGGAGGAGCTGAAAGAGGCCCGAAGCGGGCGAGCAGGCGCCAGGGAGGGCCGCCGTTGTCTCGACTGACCTCCTCAGAACTTCGACGATGACGACGGCGACGACGCAACGACTACGACGACGACGCGACGGCGGTAATCTCGACGACGACGCGCCGACGACGCTTCCTGATATCCGACGTTGCTACAAAATTGCCACATTGTGAGACATCAAAGCCAAAGTGCATTTTTGTAAGCCGGATCGATCTGTGATGGCTTCAGGGCCCGGAGCCGGCGATAGCGCCGCCCGTTTTGAAACAGTTAGTGACAAGTCCCCACGGTCTTTCTCCCCTGCGAAACCTCGAATTCCCGATCCATTCCCCAGGGCCAGTGTTTTTCATCCCGAGTGGTATCTTGACGGCCCTTTGTCCTGGCGATGGCCCCCAGGGGCCAACAGCAGACAGAAACCTTCCGTCGTGATTCTTGCACGTCGCGAGCATCGCCGGGAGAGCAGATGCCATGGTGTTCGGGTCGCAGCTTGGCTCTCAGGTAGCCGATCTGGACGATCTGGGCAACCACCGGAGCGCCCTCGATGATGCAAGTCCCTAGCCTTGAAAACTCTCGATAATTCCACGCTGCGCGCCGAGCCGCCGCCGCGCAGAGGGCACTCTGGCGCCAGGGCCTCCAGGGGGCCCTCGACGAGGCGCAGCTGAAGGAAGCCACCCCGGGCCTCGAAAATGTCAGAACACGTTACATCGTCCCGAAAACGTGGGGCAATTTACAGCATGTCATGCAGGACACGATCGAGACGTCGAGGAGGAGGAGGAGGAGGACGACGACGACGACGACGGTGACGACGACGGCGACGGCGGCGACGACAACGACGGCGACGGTGACGACGACGGCGACGGCGACGGCGACGACGACGACGGCGCCCGGCTGCGCAACCGCCGCCCCGAGGCGCTCGGGCGCCCCGGCGTGGAGGGTGCGGAGGGCGCGCTGGGCCTGCTGCTGGGCGGCGCCGCCCCGGCGGCGGCCGCGGAGATCCTGCTGCTGGAGGGCCGCCCTCCCCCCCCCCCCGCGCGGCTTGGGAATCCCCAAACCGGGTGGTGAGATACCAGGTGGCGACCTGGAATCCCCAAAAGGTCACCGCTGGGTTTGGGGACGCGGGGTCACCACCGGGTTTTGTGACTCCTGGACCCACCAGTGTCCGGGACATCCTCGGAAAACCGCACGAGTCCCCAAACCGGGTGGTGACACCAAATCACCCGAGACTCACCGCCAGGTGTTGTCACCACCACGTTTGGGGACTACCAAGCGGCGTCGGGAGCCTTGCTCGCAGAGTCCCCCGTGCGCATACCCCTTCGCATCGCTCTGACGTGTGCATGTTTCCTTCGGCGAGGACCATCGAGAAGCATCCTTGATCATTCCGCGAAACAAAACCACGCGCGAAACCGGAACAAAAACACAGGGAATGGACGTCCGAGCGATGGCCAGACCCTCCCTGTCGTTGCCCCGGAGGTCTTTGCTTCCCCCGTGGGAGGAAGGGGAAGAAGGAGCGGCCCGAGCAGGAACTGTTCGCGCTCCGCGCGGCGTCGGGAGCCTTCCTCGCAGAGTCCCCCTGCGCATACCCTTAAGTCGGGCCTGTCCCCCTACAGGGAGATGAGATTTTCGACGAAAAATTAAAAATACCCAAACAATACACCAAAAAGGTCAAAACACATTCCAAAAGTTGTTCCCAGACCATTTTTGGAGAATGTTTGATTGAATCGCTTCGCTCATTCCGCCGGCCCGTGATATGGCATCGCTGGTTTTTGTCTGTGTGTTCGTTGCCCATGTTGCGCTCTTGGGGGCGGGTGTCGTTCGGACGCGTTGCGTGGGGAGTTTTGATGGTGAAGCAGTTCCCTGGGGGTCGTCTCTCGATGGGGCGAAATAGAGGTCGTCGTCAAGATGCTTCTTTGGGGGGCCTCTTGGGGTCTGTTGAGAGGCCGTTCGGGGGCGCCTGGGAGACATGTTTGAAGCCTTCTGGGGCTTCTTTTGGGCCTCCTGGGAGTCTCCTGGGGCCTCTTGGCGACATCTTGGGGCCTCTTGGAGGCCTCTTGGGGCCTCTTTGGGACCTCCTGGGCGCCTTCTGGGACGGAGGGCTCCATTTTTGAGTTCTCGGTATCCCTCCTGAGTCCCTCTTGGGCCCGTCTTGGGGCCTCTTGGTCCGTCTTGGGCGGCACTTGGGCCGTCTTGAGGGCTCTCTTGGGTCGTTTCGGCGCCGTCTTGGGAGCTTCGTGGGCCGTCTTGGAGCGGTCTTGGGGGCCTCTTGGGCCGTCTTGGAGCGTCCGGAAGCCGAAAAAGCCAGAACACAAAAAACATCGAAAAAACAATGAAAATCAACGATTTTGGCCTCTTGGGGCTCTCTTCGGAGGCCTCTTGGAAGGCTCTTGGGGCGTCTTGGAGGCCTCTTGGGCTGTCTTGGGGGCCTTTTGGGCCGTCTTGGGGTCATCTTCGGCGTCTTCGAGCGCTCTTTGGGCGTCTCGGGGGCCTCTTGGGCAGTCTTGGGGGCCTCTTGGGGCACTCTGAGCGCGCTCTGGGGAGCCTGAGAGGCCGCACCCAGAAGGAAAACCATCTCTGAGTAGACTTGGTCGGGCGGCGACCGGGCGTTGGTCGGGGTACTTTTCGCCGGGGGACCCCCAGGGGCCGCCCCGCGCGCGCGAACTAGAAATACTGTTAATACTGTTAACCAGTTACTGGGAGATCTTAGCACGCCCTGGCCCGTTGGGCCGGCGAATTATTGTTTGTTTTTTTTTTCTTTTTCGTCGACAATCCCCTTGTAGGGGGACAGGCTCGACTTAAGGGTATGCGCAGGGGGACTCTGCGAGGGAGGAGAAGAAAGAGAGCGGCCCGAACAGGAACTTTTAGCGCTCCGCGCGGGTTTCTTGGCGCTGCGCTGGGCCCCCCCCAGGCCGCCCCTTCGGCGCCGCCCCTGGCGCGCTCCGCGCGCTGGGAGGGGGGTTTTGGTCCAGCACGGATCCAAGAGATCCGCGCTGGACCAAACTTTTCTCCACTTCTTCTTTAGGGTTGGCGCGCAGGATCTTCTTCTCTTCTTCTAGGGTTGGCGATGTCTCTTCTTCTAGGGCTGGCACGCAGGATCTTGTTGGATCTTGCAGGATCCTGGCCTGACCGACCTGGGTTTGCACTGACCCGGGTCAGTGCGTCCTCGGCGCGGCGGCTCGGCGTCGTCGCGCCGCGAAGCAAGTCGGCGGCGGGGTCCGAGCCCAAGTTTCTCTGATCAACGAATCCGGCATCTCGATCGGCGGCAGGGTGAGGGTTTCGGAGTTCGTCGAGCACGTGGCGAAATCCGAGCCCTGCCCCCGCTACCCTCGGCCTCTGGGGGGCCTTTTGTGGCTTGGTCGGGGCCTCTTTGGCCGTCCTAGGGCGTCCCTTGATCCTTGACCGTCTGACGCCGCCCAGAGCCGTCTTGGGGGCCTCTCTGGACTGTTTTGGGGCCCTCTTGGAGTGCTTCAGAGCCGTCTTGGAGGCCGTCTTGGCCGTCATGGAGGCCTCTTGGGCCTTCTTGGGCACCCTCTGGGCCATCTTGGGGGCTTCTTGGGCCCTTCTTGGGTCATCTTGGAGGCCTATTGGGCGCTCTGGGAACGATCTTGGGGGCCTCTTGGGCCGTCTTGGGATGCCAAAGGCCTTCTGACACCCAAGTCCTATTTAGGCCTCCTCGAGCCCTGCTGGAGGACCTCTTGGAGGCCGTCTTGGGCCGTCTTGGAGGCTTCTTGGGCAGACTTGGAGGCATCTCGGACCCCCTCGGGCCGTCTTGGAGGCCATCTTGGACCATCTTGGGCGCACTTCGAGGCCATCTTGGCCGTCTTGGAGGTCATCTTGGGCCATCTTGGCCCGTCTTCGAGGCGATTTTCGGCAGCCTTCCGGGTGGCCGCCGGGATCGGCCGAAGCCCCAGGGGGAGTTCTTTGGGAAACTAACCCAAGCCACGGATCGAAGGGCCTTCGGCCCATCCCGCCAACGTGCTTGGGTTATGGGTACGAAGCTTATCGGATGTTCGTTGAGATCTCATGGGAGTCGTCTCAGGGGCCTGTTGGAGGCAGATTTGATGCCTCTTGGGGGTCGTTTTGAGGAGTCTTGGAGCCTGTGTTGCGCCTCTTGGGGCCTCTTCGGAGACTCTCTGGGGCCTCTTGGCGCCTCTTGGGGCCTCCATGGGACCTCTTGAGGCGGAAGGGTCGGTTGTCGTTTCGCGTGTCCCCTTTCTTGGGTCTCTTATGGGGCCGTCTCAGGGCCTTCTTGGGCAGCGTTGGGCGCCTGTTCGGTCGTCCTAGAATGCTCTTAGGCCGTCTTAGGGGTCCTCTTGGCAGCCTCTTGGACCTTCTTTGAGTGGTCTTGTGGGCCTCTTGGGCCCTCTTGGAGCGTTGGAAAGCCTAACAGGCGAGAACGCCAACATCTTTCAAACACCTATGACCCTCTTTGAAGTGCTTTTGGAGGCGTCTTGGAGGCCTCGCGGGCCATCTTGAGGCCATCGTGGGTATCTTTGGCCGATCGCTCGGCGACTCGGTGCCCTCTTTGACTGTCTTCGGGACCTCTTGGAGCCCTTTTGGCCCGTAGGGCCCTGTTGGCTCCGAAGAAGACAAGCGACAAGGCGCGACAAGCCTCACGCGGGAAGTCCTGAGAGATTTGTCAATTTGGGGTTTGGGCCCCTGACTCCACAGGGGTGCTTCAGGGATTCGGCAAAGGACGCCCACTCTGTGCCCAGCGGCACAGCTGCGGATATCATTCGTTCATTCGTTATAGAAGCGCTAGCACAAAACACAACACAATAACGAAATGGCAGTAACATGTTACAGTCAACCCGTACAATTCCCACAGGGCAAAGGGTGACCATGCCATGTACAGGTTGCACCGACCCAGCGCCAGATTTCGCAAACCATCGAGTTGTCATATGCCAGAGATCAGCTCTTGTGTGGAACTTGCGCGCATGAATCCTGCTTTCTGGCTCCACTTTGCAAGTGGAGTCTTCAGATGCGCACAATGAGCTTCTCACTGGGAGGTGTCTGAGTTTCTGATGACTGTCTACACTTCGTTTTTGAGAGTTGTGCCGCTCGCTGATGGAACTTGCACAGCTCTGACATGACAGCCAATCAACGCGAAGTTCTACACGACTTTTGTGCGAAAGCTGACCAGGTGAATCTCTGGCGACCACAGCACAACACAACTCCCAGATGCCAGAAAAAGGAAACGAATACCAGTTCCAACCGTGGCGTTCATGTCGTCTGCCAGGGTGACTGTGAATTCTTGAGACGTGCATTTGATTGCGGCATCGTCTCTCAAGGTTCTGAACATGGGATCTTACTGGATTGCTCCAGATGGCCCGTTGTAAGCGGTACCAGCTTTGTTGGTGGCAGATTGAGAAGTGGCCTTGTTGGTTGGAATCGGTACCAGTCGTATTGGAATGGTCCGACATGCGGCCACGACCCCCTGGACGCACCTTGGGACAACACCCCGCGACCCTTCCCGGGACCCCCCCCCCACGGCGGTGACGGGATCAAAGGAAAAGTGGCATCCCGTCGACTCGATTATGACGCTGTTGGTATGTTCCCTCTGGCTGGGTCGCTTGCGGAAGCGGGCCCAGGGGGGGGGAGTGCCGACGGAGACGACGACGACAACCCAAAGTGAAAAAGGGAGCGGCGACGGGGACGACGACTCCAACGGATAATCGTCTCACACACGCCGACAGGATCGGCGAATGTCGAGGCATGTCCAGCCGTGGCGACGAGGGCGGGTAATAGTTCTGGTACGGATTCGTGTTCCTCGTTTGGATTTCGGTACAGTCGTTTCGTTTCGGATTTCCGATAATCGTTAGAATGTGTGTTCGCCCATTTTGTATATGTGCGTGTGTTTGTTGTTCCGTGCAGCCCCGTCGGCAGCGCCCAACTTGTGTCGGCCCTTACCAACGGCTTTGTTGGACAAACACGCGGTGGCGCTAACTCAGACATCCGATGCCTTGAGTTTTTCCATACGGCGTCCCCAGAAGTCTCGATCTTTTCTGGGGGTTCAGCTTTCCTCCTGAGTAGGTATTTGACAGTCGCAGGGCCCCGCGACGGCCCTCAACGGCCGAATCCAACGAAATTGTTCCGTCAAGTTATTGTTCAATCAATCGCAGGCTTGGGTCTGAGTCATAGCTCTCCAGTCGATGCGATTAGCAAGGATGAGCCATTTTCCAAGGCTACTCTTTGCATCTTTGCCCCTTCGGCTCATCCTGGGTAACGTTCGCTGGCTTGCCCCGTCCGAGAAAGGTCAACATTGCCACCTGGCCCTCTAAGGTTCTTGCATCCTTACCGCGCATCCTCAGTCTGCGTTTTGATTGCACCGATACTTGTTCGGTACGATTGAAATTGGTACGGAGAGATTGGGTACGAAGACCACTTGCGTTTTCCTGCTCATTCTGGAGAGGGCTCGCTGTCGGCGTCGCCGCGGGCGTTGTCCGCTTGAGACAGCAGGCTGCCTGCCCAGCAGCGACCGCAGCCAGTGTTAGACAGCCTCTGCTGTCGGGCATCGGGCCCACGTCACACCCCGAAGCCTCTTCGGCCTGCCAAACTCCCTGCTGCGTTTTGCTGCCACCGCCCACGAAACCACTCCGACCCATCCTCCTCCTCCTCCCCCTCCCTCCTCCTCCTCCTCCTCCTCCTCCTCCTCCTCCTCCTCCTCCTCCTCCTCCTCCTCCTCCTCCTCCTCCTCCTCCTCCTCCTCCTCCTCCTCCTCTCCCTTCCCCCTCCTCCTCCCCGCAGGCCCCAGCTTGCCCTCCGCTCCCAGAGTGGCTGGGCGCCGGGGAGCAGCGGCCAAACGCACGAGGAGCCCGCACCCCCCTGCACCCGACACCGGGGCCGTCGGGTTGGGTTGGGGTCGGGGCTCAAGAGACGGGGGTCGATGTAAACGGGGGTCAGCCAGGGCATCGGATCCTGCAGGATCCTGCGAACCCCCCCTCTGGCTGACCCGGGGTAGTGGCGAGCCGCTGGTGGCCGCGAGGCGGCTGCGCCTATTGGCTGACCCGGGTTTGTGAAGACCTGCGTTGCACTTGTTTTTCCTGCATTGCAGTTTTTGGTTTCCTGCTGACCCGGGTCTGGACTGACCCGGGTCAGAAGATCCCCGATGGGGTGGTGTGGTACTCAGTTGAAGTCTGGTCTGTCCTTCTACATGAGGAAACTTCAAAAATAATCAGGACATCGGCTAGGGACATTTTTGGACCATTCTCTGGGATTCTGTTTGTTTCCGTCCAGTGTCCGCCTGTAGAGGGACACGCCCGACCTGATACTTGGCGGGCCCTAGACACGACAGGGCCGTTGTTGCACCGGTTCCGTTCTGCCGTTTTTGTTGCCGGCGGTTCCGACGCCGTTTTTGTTGCCGTTCCCGACGCCTTTTTTGTTACCTGTTCCGGCTCCAGTTCCGATCTTGGAGCAGTTTCTTTGCCGCTTCCGGTCGCCTTTTTTTGGCCGTTTCCATTTTCAGAAGACATTTGTTCGGAAACGGTGACAAGACGGTCCTGCCGCTCCGGGGCCCACGAAGGCCCGGTAGGTACAGTGCCAGTTTTAATACATGCTCCGCGTGCGGACCATATATAAAAATTCAGGGATTTAGTATTAAAAACAACGATGAGTTCATGCATACATTTATTCATAAGTTAACCATGTATTAAACATCCGATATTTAAGCGAAAATCCCATGTATTAAGAACTGCCCTGTAGTCATTCTCGTCTCGGTCTCCCTTGGCGCCGAGGCCGAGCGCCGAGCGCCGAGCGCCCGCGCGAAGCGCGCGCCAGAGCGCGCTCCGACCGCAGGAGCTCTCCGCGGGGGGGGCGGAGGCCCGGAGGGCGGCGTCCCGGCTGCTGCCAGCGGCGCTGCAGCGCATGACCACGGAGGATCTCGGCGGGGCCAGGCGTTGATGCTGAGTCTCGTCGTCGTCGTCGACGTCGTCGTGATGTTGTTACCCTTTTTCATCCTCCTCTCTGGGCCTCTGGGGTCGGAGGTTCGAATCGAGCCGCATCACGGATGCATTCTCGATGCGGGTCGATGTGGAGCCTCCGAGTTGCTCCACGCTGACGCCGACGATGCATCGAGGATGCATCGGCTATGCATCGGCGATGCACCTGCGATGTGTCGGCGATGCGGCGCGATCTTGCTACCCCATCGACTCGGACCCCAGGCCTCTATCGCCGTCGTATCGTCGCCATCCTTTTTGCAGCCCCTGCTTCTCGACATGCATTTCTGTGTTTGGGTCATGGCTTGTGCACCCGAACCATCCTGAGGAGGAAGAGATACAGTCAACCCGCATAGCAAGGATGGGTCATTTTCCCAAGGGCACCCTTGCATCCTTGCCCCATTCGGCCCCTCCTTGGCCTCTTCCGCTGGCCGCGCCCCGCTTGAACAGCCTCGAAATGGCCCTCCAGGGCCCTTGCATCCTCATCGTGCACCCATCTCATGCGGCTCGACTGTACCCAGGGGGCCGGGCATCCTTATACGGGTCGACTGTACCCAGGGGGCCGGGCCAGGGCCCTCGTCCTCCAGGCCACGGCATCACCAGCAGACGCGGGAAGCCCTCCCAGAGGCCCAGCGTCGCGAGGCAGACATCGGGTGCGGAGGCGTCCAGGGTGCGGGGCCATGCGTTGAGGCAGCTTCTCAGAGGGGGACACTCGCCCATGCGGAAAAGGGGTTGGGGGGTGGCGGCAGGGCTCCTTAGAAACACCCCTGCCTCTCGAGAACGGGCCTTTCTGGGAGTCCCCTCGGGGGGAAGAGGTTCAAGAACTTGTAAATCCGCCACAGAAGAAGTCAACCTGCGCATGCGCCACACTTGGAAACAAGGTGTAAATCAGCCATCCAAGCAAGCCATGTGTAAACCCGCCACACAAGGAATCAATTCAGAAAATCATCCACAAAGGGAATCAATTTGCAAATCCGATGGTAATCCTCTACAAAAGGAATCCTAGTGTAATCCATCACGAAAGGAATTCGATTAAAGCCCTCTACAAAAGGAACCCGAATGAAATCCTTCACACAAGGAATCTTATTGAAATCCTTTACGAAAGGAATCCTATTGAAATCGGCTACAAACGGACTTTTGGCTTATCGGAATTCCACAGGAATCTGTTCTGCAATATATACATAGAGGTATATTGATAAAACGAGGAAAATCGAAAAACAAAGGTGTCGGCTGTGACTCTTTGTTATCAAATGATTTCGGTTGGCGTGTGTTTTTCACGGAGTATCAAGGTACAGCTTTTTTTTTGAAATGAAACCCAATGGAGGGCAAAGCGAAACCACAGTTTCGCTTGATACTCTCTGAAAACGCACGCCTGCCGAAATAATTTGTCTGTTTCTTCGAAAAGCGGAGAGAGTCAAAGGCGAAGCCTGGCATTCCAGAAAAGAAAAACAATGTTACATTAAACGAAAATTTAAACATTCAACACTTGAAAGTGTTGCAGAACAGATTCTGGTGGAAGTATGAAAAAAAAACCCTTGACAACATGAATCCGGTTGCAGTCTTTTACTAAAAGGAATGGTATTGAAACCCTTTTTACAAAAGGAGTCATATTGAAACCCTTTTGCAAAAGGAGTTCGATTGAAATCCTCGACAAATGGAATCCGACCGAAATCTCTTCCAAAAGGAATCCTAATACAAAAATCATCTACATAAGGAATGCGATTGAAATCCACCACAAAGGTAATTTTGTTGAAATCCGCGACAGAAAGGAATCACATTGAAACCCTTAACAAAAGGAGTACGATTGAAATGCTCGACCGTGGAAATCCTTTGCAACAGGAATTTCCCTTGACATCTTTTACACAAGGAATCCCGTTGAAAGCCACCACCAAAGAAATTATGTTGAAATATCTTCCCCTTCCTCTTTTGCGCCCACCGCCGTCCACTAGGGCTTTTTGAGGTCGTTCAAGGGAGGGAGTATGGTTGGCCTGGTTCGCCTCCTTTTGTTGCGGCTTACAAACAGATTTCTTCGTTGCGGACTACACAGGATTCCGTGGGCGAGTTGGAGATGGGGCAGCTTTCACCAAGGCCGATTCGGACAGGGCGATTTTGGAGGCCATTGAGTATTCCGTAGAGCTTGCCTTGAAGACCCATGCGTGTTTTTTGGGCATGCTCGTCGGCGACACGGAGACCGTTGAGCACGGAGATGCCGATATTCCCCCGGTGTTCCTGGCAGCCGACACTTGCATTATTTTCGTGATAGTCAGGCTGACAGACGATGTCAACGCAGCGGTGGCGATGGTGAGCAGGCGCAACAAGGTGAACAGGGAAGCTGCAGAGAGCCAGGTTCGGACGTACAAAAGCTGCAGCAAACTTATGGAGAAATTCCTGGCGCCTTCGTTGGGTTTTCCGACGGGAGAGGTCAAATGCCGGATCCACGTCGAAAATGACGACCACCCGCAGCGCGCGGCCGCGACCCTGCTCCAGGACGACGTCTGCCATGTATTCTTTGGGGGAAGATGTACGCGACCAAGACTTCGGCCATGCGTCGGTGCTGGTCAGCATGTGAAGATTCAAAATGTCAGGCTCAGTTCAAGATTTCGGCAGCGGAGCTGCCCCCAAACTCGCCAGAGCGAGGGCTTCTCGATCTTGCAGCGCGCGGATCGGCCGGCGAGAGCGATGGCGGCGGCGGCGCGCCCTACACCAAGGGCAAGAGTCTGCGGCAAGACATCGTCCACGACTTCGAATCGCACCTGGAGTTTTGCGTATGTGGACGCAAGCCCTGCAAAAAGAGCGATGCGACCTGCGAGGCCATCGCCCATGACCTCTGCGCCACGTAGACTGTGATGGCCACGCCCTGGCGGTGCAATGACAAGAAATTTCAATTGACAAGCGGCCCCAACTTTGCGTGGGTCGAGGGGCGCAAAAGGAACGTCGCCTCTCTCGCCGACCTGCAGGGCTCCGGCGTCGTCTTTATCTCGAGCAAGCGCGGCTCCACCTTGAGATACAGGCGGTATTAGAAGGCCATGTTGTTCAGGAACATCGCCTCGTCCAGGGGCTCCGACGAGGTCCAGGAGGATATCTTTGACGACGGCGACGGCAGCGGCTGGCAGGGGGAGGAGTTCCCTGTCAACATGCGTGAACTTCACAGCCATGCTATATTGCGCGCGCTAGCCGTGCAATGTCGGTATCTACGTTGAGGAGCGTATAGAAGATGAGGTGGAATACCCTGACCATGGGGTAGATCCACGCGTGGTAGTTACGCAGCAACACGAACTCTGCGCCGCACGGGAGGCGGTGCAGGGTCATGAAGTCGTCCTTCCAGTCCGCTGCCAATGATGCCGATTCCCATCTCACAGATGGCCCTCAGCATGGTAGCCCTTCTGACATTTGATGCAGGGTCTGCCGCATACGTTATCCACCCACTCTTGGCTGAGACCCGCGGGAGGCTGGTCCAGAAAGTAGGCGGCAAAACAAACTTTGATGATAGATCAGCTCGAAGCCCATCCCAATGTGGGCACTCCACGACCTGATGTCGGATGGATGGCCACAAATGGCCGCAGTGTGGGCAAGGTAGCCCTGTCTGTCGACGTGTCTCCGATGAAGCAGCCCCTGAACGGAACACGGAGAGGCTGAACTTCTCGGCAATACTCAAGGAATGAAACCACTTTGTGAAAACTTTGTTGCTGCAGGCGTCGACGTCCACCGACTCGACCTCCTCTGAGTCTTTCCTGCGGGGCTCCACGATTTGAAGGCACCTGATCCTTGCGATGACTCGAAGGACGTGTTGTGCACGCTTGGAGTGTGTCCAAAATCTGAGCTGAGCGTCCGCCAAACCTTCCACAATCTGCAATACTCTGAAGTCGTCCATAGAAGAGACTTCCAGTAAAACACCCCTTTCTTCTGAAAATCGTATATACTCCAATCCCAACGTTCGGGCGTGTACTTGGATCGAGTTCTCTAGGAAAGATGACCAAATCAACTTTTCGTCATGTAAACGTCTGAAGGCGAAGAGGCTGCAAGAGTAGACGGGGTGGAGCATGATGTTCTGGCACCACCATCTGCCCAGGCACCACCATGTGTTCTGGGTGCGCCACACTGCTCTCGCCAAAAGCTTTGCCGTCGCTGTCGGTGGGGGTGTCACGATAGGGGCTCCCCACGCCCATAGAGGTCTTAGGTATGTATAGGCCAGTCGCAATCTCACCATGCAAGATCCAGGAACAGACTGAAGAATAGAAATCCCAGTGTGAAGTTTAGCCCATTTGTCTTTTGGTATGATGGCCCATGTCACGTCGGTAGGACAAGCAAGGAGACCGAGGTGTTCGATCTGCTGCGGCTCCGCGTCCATGGTGGACCATATCTGCGTTTTCTTGTTGTTCGCTTTGAAACCCACGTCACTGTCGAAGGTAGATGTTTCAGCCATGTCGTCCAGCAGCCCCTGCGGGCTATCTCCAACAATATAGCGGTCATCCATAAAGCATCCCGAGGGGCCCGACGTGATCCAAGGAACAAGGGTACTGATCATGGTCCCAGGTGCTGTGCTGTCTCCTTGTGGCAAGCCTCGGTCTGCGTATATTGCCCTCTCTGCCAGTTCTCCGTTGAGGCTGCACCAGCGAGGGCCTTTCCATGCCGATTTGCATACATATCGTACTGCCAGAGGGTAACGTGAACGCTCCATTGCAGCACTCGCAATTTCATGAAGGATATTATCATAAGCACGGCTGAGATCCAATTCGCATCCGTCCGAGCTCAATTCGCAATGTCGCAACCACTGGCTGATCGCGTGGGTGACTGATACGTGCTTTCGATTAGCCCATTGGCCCTCTGGAGGCTCAGGAGCTGCAAATGCCAATGCTCTGAGCCAAATACGTAGCAACACGCTGCCCACGCTGATAGGCCTCGTGTCATCCTCTCCCTTGGGCATACCTGCCACTCTCCAGG